ATCCTGCAGTTCTCTGTTGGACATGGTACTTCAAAAGCACAATTTGTTTTCAGTCATGCAATTTGTGTTATAATGAATTCTAGTTTCACGTGTGGTAATTTTAGTCCTGTAGCTCTCTGTTGGACATAGTACTATGCTCAAATATTTTGAGAATTTTCCTTTAAAAGCTTAACAATTATTTTAGAAAAATTGCGATATTTTTTTCTTTGTTTTTTCTCTCATATATATATATATATTGATAATACTAAGATGGATAAGGTAAGAGTTGAATTTTAACACCTTCATATCCTTCCATGCTGCTACAATATATCACAATAATTTAAGACAATTTGAAAAAAAAAATTGCCGAGTCAAATACCCCGCTTAAGACTATAAAGTATGAACACCCTCACAATTACCATTTTTAATGTATATTTATTACCCCACTTCTCTTCATAATTGCTTAGCCTACCTCTATATAATTTTTAATTCCTTAATGGAAATTTTTTATCTGTATAAAAATATATTTATTGTATTTATTACTATTAATATATCTAATAAAATTAAAAATTGATATTAATTTTATTAATGATTTAATAAAAAATATTTGTGTTATAAATATTAAAATTAATATTAATTTTTTTATTTTATATAAATTAATATATAATTAATAATAAAAAATATAAAAAATATAAAAAATATATTTTTATTTAATATCTCAAAAGTAAAAGATAAAAAAACTCATTAAATTAGGATCGAAGTGACTAGCTTGAATACTATTCCTGGGCCTTGCAGGGCACCAATTCTGAGCATACATCTAGATCCGGTACGAAAAGTCAACAGAAAGAAGCTAAGTTGATTCGTGCAATAATAGATTTTGCCAATTTGTTCTGAAATCATCCACCACCGTTATCGGTTGCTAAATGGTGAATCGAAAAACAATAATGATGGAATCTGAGATTGTTCGAACAAATTGAAGATTGAATCAACTCCACCACCACTTTTCTTTATTAAATTATAAAATATTAATTATTAATGTTATATTAATATATTTTTTTTCAACACAAACAATTACTTATTATTATCATTTAATTGAGATAGAAGTTAGACATCTGACTATGATTGTTCTTTTATTTTTAAGATCATATGGGCAATAAGGCTTTTATCTCTCAATTAATTTCACAACTACATTTATAAATATCATGTAAATTTTTATCTTTAAAAGTGACAAATATGATTCATAAAAATTATTTATACTTAAATGATATTAAAAAAATAGATAATGATTCATGCACACCATCTTGATACACACCCGTTACACATTTTAATAGTTCCGTTATATGCACTGACGGTCTTCGACTTACCCAACCCTTTCTTTCTCTCTCCTTTCTTTTCTCCTTCTTGCTGTTCACTGTTCTCACCAAATCCATCTTCCTCCTCACCTCCATTCTTATCCTAATCATTTGCAAAACAATTGCCAACCGTATTAGGTTCCCACTTCTTCCTCTTTTCTTTTTTTTTTTTAAAATTTTTTTTCTCCCAGTTTCTCCAAGAGAACCAAGATCTGGATTCTTATGGACCAGGAGAACCCACGGGTTCCCTTGATAAGAACCCAGGTCTAGGTTCTCCTTCAGAACCCATATCGAGTTAGAGTGTGTAACGGGGTTCATCCTCCTCCTCTGCTGTTATGCTGCCACAGGATCAGTCTTCGATGACTCTAATCCGATCAGATTGGTCTTCGATAGCCTCAGTGACTTTAACTCCTCTGTCCTCCAAGTCCTCGGCTACACTTGGCATGCTCTCTACTTCGCCCGTCTCTCTTACAAGTACGGGAAGAGGTACGAAAGTGTGGAGGAGATGAAGCTCCGGCTTAAGATTTTCAAGGAGAATTTGGATTTGATCAGATCCACGAACAAGATGGGATTGCCTTACACTCTTGTTGTTAATCACTTTGCTAATTGGACCTAGGAAGAGTTTCTGAGACACAGATTGGGAGCTGCACAAAATTAATGGAAACCGTTAATGTGTCAAAATTAACGAAAACTGTTAGTGTGTAACGAATGTGTAACGGGATGATGTGCATGGATTAGCGTCCTAAAAAAATTTAACTTACATTTTCAATATGATTTAAATGGTTTTTTAATCACTTAATCCATGCTTAATGAATTATAGAAGTAGAGATAAAGCAAGGGATATGAACTTTTTTTAATATAATTGTTTTATATTTTGAGTAAAGTGTTTATAAGAGTAATTTTAACAAAATTAAAACAAAAATTTTAAATTACATCATTTTAATAAATAAATACTTATTTTTCTTCTTAAATTTTTAAAGATCTACCATTCTAATTTGGTGATTTTGCAATGGTACCTCGAGCTCGAAGTTGCAAACTAGTAAGGTGTCAAAGGTAATATTTGTGGAATGAATAATTTTTGTATTGATTTCATGGAAATATATACAGGTATGACTGTCCGGGAAGAATGGAACTAAATCAGCAAATACAAGGTAACTATCCCAACCATTATTAC